GAATCACCCTGGCTCTCTGGTCCGCACTCCGTGTCCACTCGCAATTCCCCCCCTCCCTACAGCTCTTCACTCCGCGCTGCGCAGGTGCCGCTGCTCAGATCCAGGCACCGCTCCTGCATCGCATCGCGCAACGTTCGAAGAAAAGTGTACAGATGGTCACGCGAAGAGGATCGCCGGCCGCCTCGGTAGGGACAACTGGCGGCCCGCGAACAGGTCAAGTCGAGTCCCCGAGCGCCCGTGTGTGTCCGTGTGTGTGTGCGTGTGACCGTGTCAAGCCTTCATGAAGGGGCCCAGGGACACACAAATAAATACACACAAACAAAACGATTCCCCAATAGTTTCCCAGATCTTCTGGGGTTTTGCCTTCCCCCCCACTTCCCACATGTTCCCACATTTTCCGGGAAATCGACGAGTAATTGTGCCTGCGTGTTTTTGTCCCTCCTGCCTTCAGTCTATCGCGCCCCCCCGGCGCATCGAGCCCAGCACAGCCTGCACCGCTCGAGCAAGAAGAGGGGTGCCCCACCGCCCAGCTCCGCCTGCCGCGCCCCCCGAGCCGCCCCGCCGCCTCCAGGCGCCCGCCCGAGCCGGGCAACCCCACGCTACAGGCCGGGCGTTGACCTAAGGAACCCTCCTCCTCCTCCTCCTCCTCCTCCTCCTCCTCCTCCTCCTCCTCCATCTCCTCCTCCTCCTCCTCCTCCTCCTCCTCCTCCTCCTCCTCCTCCTCCATCTCCTCCTCCCCCTCCTCCACCTCCTCCCCCTCCTCCAACTCCCTCCTCCGCCTCCTCGGGTCGCCTACGGCCCCGGGGGAAACCGTGCAGGAGGGGGGGGTCCAGGGAGCGGGGCGTCGGAGTCGTCGCCCAGGCGCCATACAGTCGGGGCGTTGACCTAAGGAACCCTAAATAAGGAACGAGGCCCCTTTTTTCCATAAGTTGACCTTCGATGTCCGATCGAAGACATAAGGAAACCTGGGGCAAGCTGCGAAACACTTAAGGAACGCGGAGCCCCTCCCCAACGAAAAGGGTTCCTTCTTCAGGGCCCCGACTGTAAGTTCGTGCGGCGTCGGCGCGCGCAAAGGTTTTTGACGCCGCGTCGATGGTTCAGCCTTGAATCGATCGCGGCTCCGACCTTTCTGAGGCTGAATCGTTCGTCGGGCCCGGTGGCGTCACCGTGTCCCTCGATGCGTCCGCGTCGCAGAATTCAACCTTGGACGCCTTCGCCGCCGTCGCTGGCGCACCAACGGCCACGTGAACCAGCCGTATGTGAAGCCCCCCCCGGAGGTCCGATTTCTGAAACACACCCGCGGGGAGTTCGAGCTTGAGAGCGCCTGCAACCGAGTGAGCTCGGGCAGTGGGCGCCAGGTACCCCAGCGCGAATTGGACCCGCGCAGGAGGGGTTCGCGCGCGGTGGCGGGTTCGCGCGGCAGCGCTACGGGCTTCCCCGCCGCGCTGACCTGCATCAAGGCGATGGCGCTGTCGCTGGAGATGTTCTCTGCCGCCAGCGACGACCTGGCGGCCGCCAGAAGCGCCAGCAGCACCGTCGGCCGAGCCATGGCCTGGGGAACAGCACGAGAGTCAAATCGACTCTGAGGTTGCTGCTGCTGGCGGCGCGACCGGCGCGCCAGAGAATCGAGCCAGAATGGCTACAGATGAGGAGAAGGACGACGACGACGACGACGACGACGAGGACGACGACGACGGCGACGACGGCGACGGCGGCGACGACGGCGACGGCGACGGCGACGGCGACGGCGACGGCGACGACGACGACGATCTCAGGCAAGCGGCTTCGAGACACTGATGGTGCCCCTGCGGTTCGCCCTTGCTGGGGCGCAGCCCGAGGATGGGCGCCGGAGTTGTTTTGTTGTTTGAGGGGGGGGGGGGCGCACCGTGGCACGGGACAGGGGTGCGCGAACGAGGGGGGGGTACCGGGGACGTTTTGAACCGACTTGCTCCATTCCTCTTCCTCCTCCTCCTCCTCCTCCTTCTTCTCGTCGTTCTCCCTCCTCGTTCTCCCACGAATCGTGTGAGGGGTGCGCCAAGATGGGGCTGGAAGTGCATGCGGACGAAACCACTGGGGCCTTCGGCAGAGCTCCCGATGGGGCCACGAAACGTGTGAGGGATGTACCGAACTGGACATGCGGAGGCCAGGGGCAAGGATGGGAGGAAGGAGGGGGCAGCGGGAGTGAGTGAGGTGACGCGGGGCGCTGTCTCCCCAAACGACCCAACACCACAGGACGGTTGGGAATAATGATGGTGATGACAGTACAGGGAGAGGGAAGGCAGGGGTGGGGGGAGGGACGAGGGGAAGGAGGAGGAGGAGAGGAGGAGAGGTGGGGCGCGGGGCGCTCTCTCTTCAAAACGAGGACCCAACACCACAGGATGGTTGGGAAAACATCCAGTCTACAATGGGCCCAAGACCGCCCCAAGACGGCCCAAGAGCTTCCCACGAGGGTCCCAAGACGACACAAGAGAGCCCCAAAACAGCTTCATATATGCCCCTAAAACGGACCAACAGAGCTCCAAGACGGCCACAAGAGGGGCCCGAGAGGGAGAACACGAACCGACGAGTCGAGCCTTCTGCCCGAAGAAGTCCCGAGGGAAGCCCCAAGAGGTTTCCAAGAAGCCCCAAGAGTCCGCCAGGGGTCCAGAAGATGCCCAAAAAAGACCTAACAGAGGACCCTAGATGACCCCAAAGAGGCCTCAAAAACGCCTCCAACAAGCCCACAAGAGGCCTGCCACGATATCCCGACGAACATCCAGGAGGCGTATAACCTGCAAGTCAGGAACGGTGGCAGGACGTGCCGTAGGCAGTTGAATAGTCCTCCTCATCCGCCTCCTCCTCCTCCTCGTCCTCCGCCGCAGCAGCATCATCATCATCATCATCAGCAGCAGCATCATCACCAGTAGAATCACCATCATCAGCATCATCATGAGCAGTATCATCAGCATCATCAGCATCATCACCACAAGCATCACCATCATCAGCACCAGCAGCAGCATCATCAAAGTATCGTCATCACCAGCATCAGCATCGTCATCGTCAGCATCACCTTCACCAACATCATCGTCGCCGTCAGCATAAGCATCATTATCAGCATCACCATCATCAGCATTGGCACCATCATCACAATTATCATCAACCGCACCATCATCATCGTCGTCATCATCAGCATCAGCATAATCGTCAGCATCATCATCACCGTCAACATCAACAACAACAACAACAACAACCTCATCATCATCATCATCAGCAGCAGCAGCCTCAACACCATCATCAGCGTCGTCATCATCATCAGCATCATCAGCGTCATCATCATCATAATCAGCATAAGCAGCATCACCAACATCATCAGCATCAGCCACATCATCCTCATCATCAGCATCGTCATCGCCAGCGTCATCATCATCATCAGCAGCATCAGCGTCGTCATCATCAGTATCGACAGCAACATGATCATCATCATCTTCATCAGCATCATCATCACATTCATCTTCACTATCATCACTCGTCATCGTCGTCGCCAACGGCATCATCAGCATCAGCATCTGCATCAGCATAAGCATCAGCATAAGCATCAAAGTCACCACCAGCACTATCAGTACCACCATCATCATCATCATAACCACCTGTCGTCGTCGTCGTCATCAACGACATCATCAACATCATCATCAGCATCAGCATTAGCATCATCATCACCATCAACGGCATATCTATCAACACGGCCATCATCATGATCAGCAACATCATCATCATCATCATCATCATCATGATCAGTGCCACCATCAGCAGCAGCATCGTCACCCGCATTTCCATTCTCACCATCGATCAGCCTCGTCATCAGAATCAGCACCATCATCATCATCATCACCACCAGCATCATCATCATCATTGTCATCAGCCGCATCGGTATCATCGCCATCCTCATAAGCAGCAGCAGCATCACAACCAGCGCCAGAAGCATCAGCCCCATCATCATCACCACCACCACCATCATCATCATCATCATCATCATCATCATCATCATCATCAGCATGAGCATCAGCATAATCATCATCAGCAGCAGCATCATCACCAGCATCGTCAGCAGCATCAGCATCAACATCATCACCAGCCCGTGTCCTCCTCCCCCTCGCCCTTCTGTCAGTCTCCACCCCGCCCTCTGCCCCCTCGAACAACCTCCCCCCAACCCCTCCTCGCCGCTTCTGGCCCCCCCCCCATTGCCCTCCTCGCCTCCCCCCCGCGGGCGGAGGGGGGGGGGGCGGGCGGCTCGTGCTTCGCGCCCCCAGCACCCCCAGCTGTTCCAGCGGCGCGAGGCGGGGGCAGACCATCCGGCCTCACTCGGCGTTGGACAGACCTCCCTTTCGTACACCTCCCCTTAGCGAAAACGGCCTGGGACCGAAACCGGCGGACCCGAACCCGCAGAAGTGACGGCCGCGGCGCCCTCTCGCGAACCGAGAACGGCCAATTCCTCAATCGACGCGTCAGGGTAGGAGGTCTGTCCAACCCCGACACAATCGCTCCTCGGTGGCCTCTCTCCGGAGGCGGAGGAGGAGGAGGAGGAGGAGGGAGGAGGGAGGAGGAGGAGGAGGACGAGGAGGAGGAGGAGGAGGAGGTCTGTCCAGCCCCGACTCGCCCCTCCGTCGCCCCTCGGCGCACGCACGGCGGCTGCGGCCCGCACTGATCACGGCGCTCACCAGCGGGTGCACGGCCTCCCCCCCCCGGGGCTGGCGCCGTGCCCCCGCCGCGCCGAGCCCGCCGACCGTCCTCGTCGCCACCGCCGTCGCCCCCGGACGGCGAGATCGTCGTCCTCGTGGTCGGAGCGATCGTCGTGGTGGTCGCCGTGGCCGTCGCCCTGATGCGCTTCTCTTCCTCCTCCTCGTCCTCCTCCGCCTCCTCCTCCTACTCCTCCTCCTTTCTCCTCTTCCTCATCCTCCTCCTCCACCCTCCTCATCCAGCCCTCTTATGCCCCTCTCTCCTCAAACTCCGCTTCGGCATCCTTTCGCACCCCTCATCATCCGGAGTTCGTGTTTCCCCCCCGGCTCCATTGTCCAGCCTCCCTCCCTCCTGAATAGACATCACCACCACCACAACAATCATCGTCGGAATATGCATCATCCTCACCAACATCACCACCATCATCATCATCATCATCATCATCATCATCAGCAGCAGCAGCATCACCATCATCATTGTCATCATCATCAACATCATCATCAGCATCATCATCATTATTATAATCATAATCGTCATCAGCATGATGATCATCATCATCATCAGCAGCAGCAGCAGCATAATCTTCTGCATCATCATCAGCATCAGCATCAGCATCAGCATCAGCATCGTCATCATAATCAGCATCAGCACCAGCACCAGCATCAACATCATCATCAGCAGCATCAGCATCAGCAGCAACATCATTATCATAATCGGCAGCATCATCAGCATTACCAGCATCAGCATTAACTGCATCATCAGCATCAGCATAATCAGCATCGTCATCAACATCATCATCACCACCATCGTGATCATCAACATCATCATCATAAGCATCAACATCAGCAGAATCAGCATCAGCAACACCATCATCATCAACATGATCATACTCCTACTGCCGCTCATCATCCTGCTCCTCTGCCTCCTCCTCTTCTGCCTCCGCATCATCCAATCCTGTCCAGATTATTACTCATCCGTCCAATCCTTCCCCGTCCTCGTCCCCCCTTTTCCCTTTTTCGTCATCATCGGCGGCAACATCATCGTCAATCATCAAGCGTCCACACAGTGACCAGCGTCGCATCACCACACGCAGCATCGCTACAACCAACATCATCAGCATCATCATGAGTTACATCATCATCATCATCATCATCATCATCATCATCATCATCATCATCATCATCACCATCACCATCATCATCATCATCATCAGCAGCAGCAGCAACAGCAACAACAACAACATCATCATCAGCATCATCATCAGCATCATCATCATCAGCATCATCATCATTATCATCAGCATCATCATAATCATCATCATCACCATCATCATGACCATCACCAGTGGTATCATCATCGCCGTCGCCATGATATTCGTTATACGCATCATGGAATGATTATCGGCGACGGCGGCACCGTGAACAACATCAGCAACATTATACTGAAGACACCATCGCATGGCCCAGACAACAATGCTGAAGACATCATCGCATGGCCCAGACAACATCAGCACAGACAACATCATCGGCACAAACAACATCATCGGCACAGACAACATCATCGGCATCAACTCCGGGATCATAAGACCCACGGGGTTATTCAATGTTTTCCCAGACGCTCGCGCTCTATATATGGTCGAGGGTTTGGGCCCCCCCCCCATGCTAATGCCATCGGGCCCCCCCCCCCGCGCGATGCATCGCCCCACCTGTGGGAGTGGGCGTGGCGTGGTGGCTCCCCGCCCCCCCCCCTGTGGATGTGGTGTGGGTGTGGTGTGTTGCTGTAGGTGTGTGCGGGTTGACGCCATGGTCCTCCTCCCCCCCTCCCTCCGTCCCTTTGGGTGCGGTGTGGGTGCGGCGTGTGGCTGGGATTGGCGTCATGTTGACAGCTCCGGTGCTCGACGTCGTCGCCGCCGCCGCTGGTGGTGCCGTCGACGTTTTCGTCGTTGTCGTCGTCGTCGTTGACGTTGTCGTCGTCGTTGTCGGTGTCGTCGTCGTCGTCGTCGGTGTCGTCGTCGTCGTCGTCGTCATTGCCGTCGTCGTCGTCCTCCTCGTCCTCCTCGTCCTCCTCGTCCTCCTCCCTCTCCTCTCCTCCTCCTCCTATCCTCCTCCTCCTCCCTCCTCCTCCTCCTCCTCGCCTCCTCCTCCCTCCTCATCCTCCTCCTCTCCTCCTCCTCCTCCTCCTCCTCCTCCTCCTCCTCCTCCTCCTCCTCCTCCTCCTCCTCCTCCTCCTCCTCCCCCCCCCATCCCATCTGGGGGGGGGGGCTCGAGGACCCTTGGACCCATCCCATCTAGGGGAGGGGGGCCAAGGACCCGGAGCCCGCGATCATATATATATATATATACACACACAACACTGCAGTGGCGCTTCGCGCCATGCACCTTGGCCCTTGCTTCGGAGGGTGTCTTGGGGCCATCTTGGGCAGCCATGGGGCTCTCTGAGGGCGATCTTGGACCCGTGTTGTGCCGTTTTGGGGCTCTCTTGGACTGCCTGGAAGCCCTCTCGGATGGTTGTGGGGCGACGCTGGAGCCTCCCAGGCGGCTTCGGACGCCCAGAAGACCGCCGTCTTGGAGCGTCAGAAAGCCGAAAAGAGGAGAACCCCAAAATTCAACAAAAACCTACAGAAAATCAAAGATTTGTGCCTCTTGGGGCCTTCTTGGGAGTGCTCTTGGAGGCCTCTTTGGGGCCGTCCTGGAAGCCTTTTGGGCCATCTTGAGGTCACGTCGGTCACTTTTGGAGCGCTCTTGTGCTGTCTCGGGGGTCTCTGGGACGTCTCCGATGACCCCCTCTGAACGCCCTAGGTGTGCTGGGAAGGCTTGGCAAAACGCCCTGCGAGGCCAGGGGAATGGGAATGGGAATGGGACGCGCGCGCGGGCAATCGCCCGGGCCCCTTAAGGGCGGAGCGGGTGAGGCCGTGGCCTCGCAGACATGGCCGGCTAGCTGGAAGCTTACTCAGGCGGCCGGCGCCACTGAAGCATCAGGAGTGGAACACGTGACAAATTGCGCCTCCAGTTCAGTCCAAGTTGAATCGTCGGTCGCCAGTTTAAGCCAATCGATGTTGTTCACGTCGTAACTGCTCCGGGCGGGTCGCTCTTGCACGCCATGGGATACGAGAAAATCACGCACGGCATCATCCCATCGCTTCTGCTGTCCTCCCGAATTCCTGTTGCCTTTTTGAGAAGCATGGAGGCTCGGGTGCCAGTTGACCACGCATTGAGACCATTCTCGAGGGACTGCTTCGCCACTCTCGCGGCACATCTCCACACCAATCCCCGTTGCCTCGTATTCCAATCGATCACACTGTGCTTGTGCATGAGGCTTTCTGCTTGTCTTGTCGTGCGCTTGATATATTCGACCCACGACTCCAAGACAATGCTCTCCGGTGCGACGTTCTCCTCGTTGTCTGCGCTGGGGATGTTAGCCTTGCTGGTATCTGCGTTTGGGTGGGTAGATGACGGTCGGTTGCGTTTTGCTTCTCCGCGCGTGTCGTCTTCGTGGGTTTGCGGTTCTGTCGTCGCTTGAATCGTGCGTTGGTTGGACGCACTGGATGTCGGTCTCGTGTTGGCGGTGTTGCGTCGTCGTGGGGAGCCGGCTATCATTCGTAATATGCGTCGTTGGGTGCATCGCAACTGTTGTCGAAAAGGCTCGGTCAGAGTCCAAGTGGCCGCCCCGTATAGTACCGTCGGTGTGACAGTGCCTTCGAAGAGCCGGAGTCGGTGCTTCAAGGGGTAGTGCTTCGCTGTGAGTTCCTCTTTGCGAGCAGCGAAGGCTGCCCAGCCTGCCTTGATCCGGTGTTGCACCTCGGCGTGCATGGTGTCTTGGAAGCTGATCTGCTGTCCCAAGTACTTGACTGACCCACTGTGAGGTAAAATCTCGATTTCCATGCTGTTGATGCCCACCTTGTGCTGCCGTGCTCTCCCAGTCCTCTCAGTCAAATTCGTCAGGATATTCGTCTTGTCCGGGTGGATGTGGAGGCCGTGTTGTCGTGCAGCTGTGGCCATGTGTTCAAGCATTGTCGTCAAGCGCGGTAAGGTGCGGCTCGTCAGAAGGACGTCGTCGGCAAAGCGCGGGTTGGTAAGAGAGCAGTCTTTAGTGATGCCGAGTTGGATGCCGTGGTTGCGCTCTTTCCATGCGTTGACAAGTGGACGCATGATGTGTTCAAGAAGCGAATTGAAAAGTAGTGAACTGAGGGGATCGCCCTGCTTTGTGCCCCTCTGCAAGTTGAATGGGCGGCTGGTCGTGTCTGTCCGCACCGTGGATGTCTGGCCAGAACACATCTTCCGGAGTAAGTGTATGTAGCTTTGTGCGACACCTTGGCTCTTGAGTGCGGTCCAGAGGCTCTCGTAATCGACCGTGTCGAAAGCCTTCTTGAAGTCCAGCGTCGCTATCCAAAGTGGTTGGCTCCATTCCCGAGCTCTCTCCCGAAGCATGTGGAAAGTGAAGAGGTGATCTTGCGTCGAACGTCCCGGGCGGAATCCTGCTTGGTCTGGGGGCTGTTGTTTGTCCAGGGGCGGCTGCAGTCTGTTGTATAGAAGCTGGCTGAAAAGTTTGTAGAGCAGGGGAATGGTGCAGATTGGCCTGCTGTTCTGAGGTTGCATGGGGTCACCTGCTTTCGGGATTACTGTGATGACTGTCTGTCGCCAACTCTGCGGAGTAGGCGCGTCGGCTTGTATGACAGTATTGTATAATTGGAGTACGGCTCGTTTGAGTTCTATGGGGGCATGCTCCAACATGTCGGCTCTGATTCCGATCGTGTCGGGTGCTTTACCCCGCTTGAGGTTGGACAGTCCCCTGTTGAGCTCGTGGATTATTTAAGGCGGCACCGTGTCGTCAGAAGGCTCAGGTGGTGAAGATTGTCGAGTGGAGTGATACAACTGCTCGTAGAAATCTGCAAAGACGTTCGCAATTGAGTCTCTGCTGGTATGCTTCGTGTCGTCCTTGCCGCGCATTTCCGTGATTAGTGTACGCTTCCGCCCTGATATAATGGTCGTAATGCGCT